TAGAATAGAATAGAATAGAATAGAATAGAATAGAATAGAATAGAATACTTTATTGGCCAAGTGTGATTGGATACACAAGGAATTTGTCTTGGTGTAAATATTCTCAGTATACATAAAGAAAAGGTACATTCGTTAAGAATCAAGAATCATAACGTACAACACTTAGTGATAGTCATAGGGTACAATCAACAATCAACAATCAAATCAAAGTAGGAAACAGTCAAGTGGGAGGGGATGGGTGATAAGGAGTGGTGAGAAGATTAACAGTAATAGTAGTGTACACTTTGTAAATAGTTGAACAGTGTTGAGGGAATTATTTGTTTAGCAGAGTGATGGCTTTCAGGAAAAAACTGTTCTTGTGTCACTTACCTTACAACTTTATGAAATAAACTCTTCACATTCAAAAATAAATTTTATTATTTATTTTTTTAATGAAAAAGGTGGACTAACTTAGTTTTGCATAATTCTTGCAATCTAAATCATAATTCTTGCAATCTTCTTGCAAGAATAAATCTTCTTGCAATTTATTTTTGACTCTGGTACTCTTTTTTTTTTTTTTGAACCATATGTATTCTGGAGTTCTATTCGTTCTTTATAGCAGCCATTTAGAAAATCCTAACTTTGTTGATTTACTCAGGCAGAACAGAAGTGAATTCTGAGAGTGAGCCAGCTTTGGACATATATACAGAACCAGAGCCCTCCCAGATCATGCTCCAGACTTTCTTTGCTTAATTGGACACACACACATCTAACTAGTCTGGGCACTCTCTACTGCAAGAGCACGGCCAGGGCAAAGCTTTTATTTGGAGAAGATAGTTTAAAATAGAACTTTAAAATTGGATCACTTTAACAGCTAAGTGCAACTGATGATGACACAAAGGCAACACAATGAGGGCATGGTATAAAACAAAAACTATTACAGGGAAGTTCATGACACCATTCGGACACTAGAGGATAAAACTACTATCTGGAAAAAGCAGGAACATTGTTCTTTTGGGAAATTTGGCTTGCTCAAACCACCAAAGCCTTTGCAAACAGTTTTGAGTCCTCTAGGCTTGTTTTTTCTCTGAGATTTTCTGGCAATATTTGAGGGGTGGGCAAGGAACTCTTACTCTGTGGGATAATAATTTTTACTTGGTTAAGAAGCTTGTCCAGACAAAGTTAATCACTGAATAATAAATTGGTGATCTTTAGAAATTGTTCCAGGGTGCCTCTTGTTTTGATTATCTCAGGCCAATAATGTCAATGGGTGGAAAATAAAAAAAGAATAATTATTCAGAACTTAAATGATCACAGCTTGATTGACTTATTTTCTGAGAAGTCAGCTTTTGACCAAATTAGCACATGCCTGATCTATGTATCTCCTCACAAACATGTTTATCATACCTGGATATCAACAGCATAGATAGATTCAATAGCTTTGTTCTTTCTACTGGCAGATGAATATTTTAACTTGTTTAGTTACATTTGTGAAGAATGTATTAAGCATATGTCTGTCACTTTTACATCCAGAATGTAAAAAAGAAAATCAAGTTACATTTAACCTGAAGCCTTGCACTTCTCCAGTATTTTGTACATATACAGATTTTTTTTAAAAAAGAGGGGAAGTACCCTCACCAACCTGAGATATACCAGTAGCTTCATATTTACACTGCCAACTTTGCTGATGGGACTATCTACTGGGAAGGCTGTTCTTACATTATGCATTACAACCCTTGCACAGGAATTACTGATGTGTTGGAGTAATAAGGGGAAAACACATTTTATATTGATTACTACTCCAATTCTTGGCTACCCCTAGCTACATAACAACTGTACACATTCCCTGAATTGGATGGAAAATCTTTCTGGGAACTACAGTCCTAATAATTAACTAAAGTTATTTAATCTAGTCAATAACTAGATCTCTGCAGGTAGTCCTCAATTTATAAACAGTTACTTATCAACAGTTCTAAATTATGATAGATACCCAAAAGCTGTTTGCAATGGAATTTCTAAATTACAATGGTTGCACCATCCTCGCACAGTTACATGATCACATTTTGGGCCCTTGGCAATTGGCTCACCTTAATGGCTGTTTTCAGTATTCCATGGTCACATCACCATGATTTTTGACACTTTTTTTACAGTTTCCAGCATTTATTTCCAGTTTTTAATAAAAAGCACCCCTTGGGTAAAATGGATTTGCTTGACAACTGTAGCATTTGCTTAGCAACTGCAGCATTTCTTAAGGATTTCTGAATTGCTTATCAGCACCCAAAACATGTCATAAAATTGGGTCTGGTCTCATGGTGACTCATATAATGACCACAACAACTTAGAACTGTAGTTCAGGGTTCAATTAATAAGTTGAGGACTACCTGTATTCTTTCTCGTTCTTTATTGTATTTAATTTCTATTTTTTCCACATCCTTTTCATATCTTTTTCATACCTTTGAGATCCTTTAATTGTGATTTTACAATTTTTGGTGTTGAGATGTATTGAGTTTCTTCTAAGAGCATCCTTTTTTTTAGCCCAAGCCAAAGCAAGTGGCAGAATCTAATAACCATCTCAAAAAAATTAAACAAAGATAACTGTATGACTGTGACTTGTATCCTTACAATTTATATTGATTGTTTGCTAGTATGATTTGATTGTTTATTGTACCCTATGACTACCATTAAGTGTTGTACCTTATGATTCTTGATGAATGTATCTTTTCTTTTATGTATACTGAGAGTATTTGTACCAAGACAAATTGTTTGTGTGTACAGCCACACTTGGCCAATAAAGAATTCTAAAATAATACTTGGATGAGAGACCAACAGTTAGTGCCTATGAATGCTAGATTGACGAAATTTAAAAAATTTTAAAATTCAAACATCCCATAATTGTCAAAAGCAATGTCAAAAAAGCCAATTCATCTTTATTAATCATTTTGAACTTGCTCAACAATTGATATCACTTTTAATTTAAAAAATATTGTTAATTAACAAAGTATTGTTTCCAGCTGCATGTTATACTTTGTAAGCTTTCTCCCAACCCGTTTTTGGGGGTACTCTCAATATACCAGTAGATCAGAAGTTCTAATGTAGAAGCTGGAGATGCATTTTCCTTGCCCTTTACGGAAAGATGTGCTTCCTCTGGTACTTCTGTGTTATTAATAATACTTTATTCATGATGCTTTCTTGCAGATGGCTAAGAACTAGCAAGTTATGTTCAAGACTATGTTGGCTCAGCTTCCTACTGCTATAAATGGTAAATAGCTTCTTTAAAGTATGTATTCTTCCAATACCGAATAAGGCTCTTTCACTCTGCTTAGGTAATACTTTTTAAGAATCTTATGTACTGATAAGTTAGCTGGTTAGTATTGGGCTTTTCATTTAAAAGCATTGTATTTTTGATTCTATTGTTATTTACACACCATTATATTTGGTCATTTTATTTACACATCAAAATGTACCACTTTGCTCTTGGTTTTTATATTTAAAAATTAATTATTCATAATAGTACCCATGTATGCATACCTATCTATATATGTCCATATATGTGCTGATGATCCAGTAAATATGAAGGATCAAATATGCAGATATGCTCATGAAAAACATACAGGCATTGCAAAATACATGATTCAACAGGCCTTGAGTTTGAAATCTTTTTAGAAATCTTTGCTTTCTAAAAATCTGGAATTTGGGCAATGTTGATTTTCTAAGAGGGAGTTTGTAAAATATGTGAAAAAGCAATCTGAAATATTAAAAACAAGATAATAAAGTAAAAAACTTGAAGGAAGAATGGATGACTGCCAAGAAGAAAAACCACATTCCTGTCAAATTGGTAGGAGCAAGATGGGTCATAAAGGTTTTAGGTTTAATATTATTACTAAGAGAAAAGTTATTTTCCCCTATTGAACATAATTTTTAAAAGGTATTATTTTTTGTCTTTCAGGAGGCCCAAATATGTGGGCCATCACTTCTGAAGAAAGAAAAAAATATGATAAACAGTTTGACAACCTTAAGCCAGTTGGGGGTTACATTACAGGTTAGTGTGGTTTTCTGTTATATGATTTGAAGATTTAGTTCATTGAATTGCTATCTGGTTAAAAATATTAGTTGAAAAAGAAATTATTGTAACTGTCAATACCCCAAAATTGGTAGTGCTATAAGCCACATATAAAATTATAGTTGACTCAACTTTTTGGAAGTAATGGATATATGTTTGTGTTTGTCTAATGATTGTATCACAGTTTATTAGACAACAATTCATGACATAAGCAATGTTTTTTTGAATTAGAGGTACTCTTCGCTGTCCTAATTTTACACAAGAAGATAATGGATCTGCTTCCAGGAGGCATCACAGCAGATAGCCCCACCTTTCTGATTTCAGAAAAGGCAAAGATCGATTTGATTAGCATTTGGATGGGAATACTTAGGAAAACCCAGGGTTGTAGATGGGCTAGAAAATTAAAGGTGGGAGAGCTTCTGAAAAGGAGGCAGTGGAAATCCACTTCCATAGTGTTTCAAAGAAAACTTCATGGACATATCTATGATAACACCAATAGTCAAACCTGGCTCAAAGGAGCTTTAACTTTAAGTTGCTTCTGGTTCATGGGAGATTTGACCCATATGGCTATGGTGTTTTCAATTTTCGTTTTCTGCTGTTAGTTCAGTTCTTTCATCATTTTTCAAGGAGAGAGGAGAAGAAAGTTAGGAAGTGGAGTCAAGTATCATAGTATCCATACATTCTCATGGAATGGAATGGAAGGAAGCTTATATGACCCTTCTAATTTATTCAGATTCTGTCTCTTGAGTGAAATAGCAAGCAGGGAACATTTATTTTTTTCTGTATAAGGGAACAGACACCTACAAATGCTGAAAAGAAATGCCCATTGAATAGCAGTCATCCTATTGATCCCTTATCCATGCTCTCCCTCTGGTTGGCTATGACTCTCCAAAGTAAACTGGTATCCTTTCTGAAAGGCTCAATTTTGTTCGAAGGCTTTGGAACTCCTAGCCAGTCCAGTATGCTTCCCATTTTACTTCTTTTGCCTTTTATCTCTCTGTCTCTCTCTCATACACTTGGTCTGATAAGGAGAGCAAATTAAAGTTATGGATTGCCTTTTCAGTAATAACAGTGTAATTGTTCAGTCCAGGCAGATTTTATTTTATAACTAAGTGCATTAGAATCTTAAAAGAATTCTTTTAAAAATTTGTGTCCTTTAGAACAAAATTCCCAACTGAGAAATGCATTATGTCTTTTTCTGTCCCCTTTCTTTTCTTCATACAGGTGATCAAGCACGAATGTTTTTTTTACAGTCAGGTTTGCCAAGTCCTGTTTTGGCTGAAATATGGTGAGCATCTCACTGTGAATTCATTATATTAAGAGATTTACTGTAGAAAGATGCTGTTCTAATGATTGCATGTGATAAGCCTCCTTAATCATTGAATAATGTCATGACCAGGAACTTGCAAATTGTATGACTCTTCTTGTTTCTGTATATGGGAATTTCTATTTCAGAACTGTTGATGCGCTCTCCAGAACTGACCCCCTTTCCTCATAAAAACTACACAGCCTGCTGAGCAATGCAGTTGTAAACCACAACATCACATGACTGCATTGCTTAACAATGGCAATCCTGGCACTCCCTGTTGCCACTATTAATCGAAAAGGGTAAAACAAGGCTGTATATTGGCTCAATTTCTATTCAAGTTTAATATCAGTTCCATGGTGGGCCATTTCCTCAACACAAACTTTCACTTCCCATACTCATTGGAAGACACCTCTATTTTATTCTATGCAGACAATGCAGCAATATTCTCAAGAATATCTATTAGTCTTGAAAGAAATTGAGAGCATTAGCACAGTATTGAAAGGAAGACCAGCTAGGGCTCAACTATTAGCAACTAAAATCATGGCATTTTCCAAAAGTGCTGCTATTGAGGTATGCTGCTGTTCAGGGCGTCCAAAAGGGCAGAGGTGGGAGTAAAAATAGGCAGGTGAGGGGAGTTTAAATGCTCCTGAGGATGTAAGTTTGGACAAACTGCCAAGCACCTGAATTTAGATCACATGACCACTTAAGTACCATTTGTGCAGCACCACTGTAACTTTGCAGGGCGACTGGACGAATGGTCATAACTCAAGGGCAATGTATACATGAGTTGGAAGAGTTGCCAGGAAGGGAAGACAGAGACTGAATTCACAGGGACCAAGACAGGCTGGCTCAATCTTTGGTGTATTTTATACTGAGATTGGGAAGATTAGAAGATGAAAGACTAGGAAGTGTCCTTAGCATTCAATCATTAATGTAGATTCTGTGTTCAGTGGACTTCATTTTCACACAATTGCATTTAGGAATATATCCTGAATTCATTCTTTAAATATTATTCTTTAATAATTTTTCTCAAATACTTGTGTAGTGTAACATAGAGTAGCGTAGCATAGAATAGAATATTGTTTAAATATTGTTCTCAGTAATTTTTCTCAAATACTTGTGTAGCATAGAATTTCTTCACTTCAGCAACAGAGTGGTCAATGTTTGGAATATTCTACCTGATTCTGTGGTTTCTTCCCCAAACCCCCAAAACTTTAACCTCTTAGAGTCTTAGACTGTCTACTATTGACCTCATCCCCTTCCTAAGAGGCCTGTAGGGGGCATGCATAAGCGCACCAATTGTGCCTACCGTCCCTGTCCTATTGTTTTTTATTTTTCTTATAAGTATCTATCTCATGTATTCAAAACTATATTTATTCTTATACCTGTATCTTGTAAGCGATTGACAAATCAAATAAATACTATAGAATAGAGTAGAGTAGAGTAGAGTAGAGTAGAGTAGAGTAGAGTAGAGTA